CTCTCTCTCTCTCTCTCTCTCTCTCTCTCTCTCTCTCTCTCTCTCTCTCTCTCTCTCTCTCTCTCTTGTGTTAGCTCTTAGTCTCATCGATTTGGCTACCTTAGGGCTGCGTTCCCCGCACCCACGAGGTAGACAATTTTGTTTTCCCCCCCTTGCAATCCCGATGGGACGCCTTCATCATCCTGTTCTTTCCTTATGTTTAAAACTTCGCTATATTCTTCTGTCAATCTCACCTTTCACTATCTAGCTACCGCTATTCCTAAGCCTATACAGGGGACCCATGCAAGCATAGCTACCTCTCACAATCAAGGGGATGCATACTGGCAAAATGCTCGGTCTTTGCGTTAGCCGGCCACCGGCGGTCCCACCCTTCTCCTTGACTACCCCCGATTAGGCTGGGAGGCAACATGCATTCACACAACTTTGACGGACAAACACCATTTGGCTGCACATTTTGAACACAAATTTCCAAAAGCTAACAACGAACTGTAAAAAAAGAACTGAGGTCCTTAGTGCTGCGTTCCTCGGCTCCCCGCGGTTGACCAATTGCGAAATATAATATAATAATCCGATGTACCCAGAGTAAATATCCCCCTTAGGTAGCCGGGGAAAGGGGGGAGGCGTACGGGGGCAAGGTCCCACTTGCGCAAATTAGGAGATTTCGGCCGTTGATCTTTGCTATCTACGGTCATTTATCTCTTAATTCGTGCTGCAAGTGGGACCTAGTCCCGGGGTGGCTTATCGAGGGGTTGGTAGTCGCCCGGTGTCGGGAACAGTTTTGACCGCTCTGTAGTGCATTCATTTCATCTCTGCCGCTCTTTCGACAGGTTAGTGGGCGTGTCGTCTGTCGGCCTACCGTTGCCACCTCTCTCTCTCTCTCTCTCTCTCCCCCTCCTCTCCTCTCCCGCTGCCGCCTGTCTCACAAAGCACAGAGCGCCTGTCAGTGTGAAGCGATTCGGTTGTACTACCGGCGAACATTCAGGGTTGCTTCGCCTTGTCTCTCGATCACTTCATTTCATATATCATATATATATCGCCTACTGGTTGTCGTACGGTCTGTTTTGGCAGTGGCGGGTTGCAGAGCACCGTTGTAATTGACGACCGCTTTTTTTTTTTAATTGACGACCGCTTTTTTTATTTTTTATTTTTTATACGACCGCATTTAGGCCTCGCCGGACTCCTACCGCGCTCGAAATGTGTATTAAATGGCGACTGTATCAGGATGGAGATTCACGAAATGTGTATTAAATGGCAAGTGTATCAGGATCGAGATTCAGGAAAGATACGGTAGCCATTTGTTTGTCGTTTTCACATTAGGCGCGAGGCCCTTCCCCTCGTCGGTTTCCGTGCCCCCTGGTGTGTTGGCTGTTATTGGCGAATAGCAGAGCGCGGGGAAGGAGGGGAAGAGGTGGGGGAAAGGGGGCCCGCGGAGGAGGGGCCTAGATGACCATCGGGGGCCCTAGATGACCATCGGCGGGAGTATCGAGAACGAAGGCGCGGAAGGGCGACGTCTGATCGCGCGCGCGTGCACCGATCACTGACCGAGCGGCACGTCAAGCGTCTCGCGGGGGCGGGCGGACATCAGGCGGAAGAGGTGGCGGAACGAGCTTGTAGCGGGCGGGAGGGAGGGTGACTTGGCGGAAGATTTGGCGGAAGGGTTATTGCCGCTTCTCCGGAGTAGAACGCGATTGTCCTCCTCTTCGTCTTCAGTTTTTGATCTGGGGGGAGCGGGGTGCGCTTAGCGGGGGCGACAGCTGTGCCGGGGGAGGGGAGTTTCCCGCCTTTTCGCCTTTTCCCGCCTTCCCCACCTTTTCTGCCTTTCCCGCCTTTCTCGCCTTTCCCGCCTTTCCCGCTGCACACGTGTTTGTAAAGGCCCGTTGGAGGTTGCGTATCGGCGCGCGGAATTGAGTCGGCCGCTGCGCATGCGGGGGATGCGCCTCTTGCCTGTGCAAGGAAAATTTTGAGACGCGGAAGCGATGACGTGTCAATGATCTATCAATCCGTTGGGATCGGTATCAGGTTTCGCCGGCGCCAGAGGGATCTGGTCTGTATAGGGTCGGCGGCGAGACTCCGACAAGGAGCAAGGTAAGTGGAGCGTCTGGGAACGAAAGGGGGGAAAGGGAGGAAGAGCACCGGGGGTAGGGGAGGAGGCGGAAAGCTAAGAAAGGGAGGCCCTCCTCCTCTCCCTCTCAAATCTCTTCATGTTTGCTGACTTCTTCTCATTTTCCTTCTTCTCTTTCTCTTTGTCTTTCTCTCTCTCTCTCTCTCTCTCTCTCTCTCTCTCTCTCTCTCTCTTGGCTTTTCCGCCGACTTTTCCACCGCCTCCCATGACTTGATACGCAAGGTAATTTACCTTGATATCCAAGAGAACCTCCGGCATCATAAAAGATAGACAGCCCCCCCACTTTCGTCCTTCTACCCCTTTTAATTTCCCGCTTTCATAATGGGTCTCGCTCCACTAATTACCAGATGCATAAAAAAAGACAGAAAAATTGCGGTGTAGCTTTCGCTTTTTTTATTTTATTTTATTTTATAATGTACAGCTTTCCATGTTCTACCCGGAGAATCAATCTCATTCTCCGTTGACACATTTCGTGGGTAGAGAAGCGAGACCCATAACTGCTGTGTGTGATTTGATGCACTTGCAATCAATCTGTTTATAATCCTGGAGTAGAGCAATCATTGCTTCTACGGGTAGCATGATGTGCCGTATAGAGTAGTACGCAATGAAGTACTTGGAAATCAGATCTCTGGTTGTTTTTTTTTTTTTTTTTTTTTTTTTTTTTTTTTTTGCGGCTGGTTGTGTTTGTCTGAGTCCTTCAGGATTTGAACTCGAGATCTGTGTGTGAAGAGCTGCAGATTTGCGCACTGTTCACCCACGTGGGCTGGGCGAGCAATCGTTGCTCTCTCTCTGATTCTTCAGTTGGAAAATTGAGAATGACTACCGTCTTCCCCTGAATAGAACGCCCGGTAATTATCTCGCCGTATCTGGGCTGAAAGTTGTGCCAAATACAGCTATAATGACCGGGCGTTCTATTCGGGTGAAGAAGGTAGGACTGGTAATTGGACAGTTGGGATGGAAAAGCATACAAGCGCAGTTGATGATAGGTCGCGTCCAACTCTCCAGTGTTTTTTTTTTTTTTCCTCCCCCCCCCCCCCCCCCCCCCCCCCCCCCCCCCCTCCCCGCGCCCCCTTCCCCAATTCTTTTTTTTTTTTTTTGTTCCCCCCCCCCCCTTTTTTTTTTTTTTTTTTTTCCCCCCCCCCCCCCCCCCCAACTCTCCTGTCTTCGCCATGGGGCCTCTCTCAAAACTCTTTGTTTGTTGTAATGGCGCCTCACCTAGCTTGCTTCTCTCTCTCTCTCTCATTCTCTCTCTCTCTCTCTGTCTCACACTCTCTCGATCGTTCTGATCGTCATGGTGTTGCGTCGTCGTCGAGCTTGCCATCTCTCCTCTTCCGTTCCCTTCCCTTGTCCCATGAGCGCATCTTTCTCTCTCCTCCCTCTCTCTCCACCTCTCTCTCTCTCCTCCCCTCTCTCCCCTCTCTTCCCACCTTCTGCCCTTTCTCTCTCCATAGTCTAGGCTCTCTATCTTGTATTTCTTTCGCCTCCTTTTCGTTTCTCTCTCTCTCTCTCTCCGTATGCTTTTTCCTCCGCACCACTCCCCCTTCCCCCTTCCCCCTCCCCCCTCCCCCCTGCGCCCTTCTCCCGCCGTCTTACTCTTTGTCCGTGCTCCTCTGCTTTGTGGGGTAATCTCTTTCGACTCGGTCTTGTTTACCCCCCCCCCTCCCCTCTCCCAACCTCTCTCTCTCTCTCTCTCTCCTCGGTTCCTCTCTGCTGAAAAATATGAAAAGTTAAAATTGTTCTGCTCTTCTTCTGTCATTAGGTCCCGAATGACGCCAACATTTTCTTTTGTTGTTCTCTATCTTTCTTTTCTCTCTCCCCTCCTTCCTTCTCTGTCTGCCCGTTTCCGCTTCCTCCACTTGTGTGTATTTTGTGAGGCTCCCTCCGTACCCTCCGCAGTTGTGGCCGTTCTCTTTCTCATTTAGCGCTCTCCCTCTTCCTACAGCTCTTTGGCGCGCTGTCTTGGTCTGTCTCGCTCTCCCACGCTGCCTTACGTGCCCCGTTCACTGTTCCCCCTCTTTTCTCAACCCGCTGGTTTTTCAACCTTCCCCCCCCCCCCNCCCCCCCCCCCCCCCCTTTTCTTATTTAACCCCCTCTCTCTTTGTCAGCCTCCTAGCTTCTGCACTGTGTACCTAACTCTTTCATTTTCTTTTGATATACATGTATATAACTGTCTTCTGTGCAATATACATCGCTTAAGCGTCGCCGCTGTCTGCCAGCGGTCTTTGATTCAGAGAGCATATGCGTATCATCATTACAAGAGGGATGTATGTTGCCCATAATAGAGTCATATACATCTCTATATGCATGTCTATTGCTGAGTTGTCTCCATTCGGTTGGGTGACAAGATGGGGTGTGAAGACGAGGAATCGCGGCGGCTGGGGAGCAGTGACTGCGCTCTACGGTCTTTTCCACCCCCAGCTTCCCCCTCCCCCCCCCTCCCCCCTTTCCCGCCCCTTCCCGTCCTTGTGTTCTCCAATATCTATCCCTACTCTACCTACCTCTCAGTGGCGTGCGTCGTTTTTTATTTTTTATTATTGAATTTGGAAACAGGTCCAGTCGCTCATTTTTTTTTGTCGCCGCTTATTCGGTTTTAACCTATTCGGATAACAAACGGATAAGAAGATTATCCTATTTGAGTACGGAGCTGAAATGAATTGGGACGTGATTGCGGTCAGTCGCATATCTCCTTTGGAGGAAAAGTGTTGTCCTCACCCAGATCGTATCGATCGGTGGTGTCATAGCCACCTACCGCCTTTGGCGGCGTTCAGACCGGGTGATATTTTTGACGCTCACCTCTGGACGTAATTGACGTCAGATGCATCGAGACCGGATCATGTTTTTGACGCTTGCCTCTGGACGTAATTGCGGTCAAATGCATTGAGGAGACCGGATGGTTTTTGTGACGCTTACCTCTGGACGTAATTGCGGTCAGATGCACCGAGGACTGCGTTTTTCTTTCGATTCTACCAATCGGCGGAACTTAGTCAGACGGCGTACACAATCTAGGACTGTCTCAGCTCATCTCTGGACGTAATTGCGGTCAGATTCATCCAGGATTGACCGTAATTGCGCTGCCGCGTACATCCTGGATTGACCGTAATTTCGCGGCCAGATACATCCAGAATTGACCGTAATTGCGGTCGGATACATCCACGATCGAAAGTTTTGGTGTGGATATTCTCTGATACTTCTCAATTGAAGAGGAGGGAGTTATTCTCTTGATACATCCAGGAGCGTAATTGCGGTCAGATACCGAAAATGTTCTTAGTGTGAATAATAACAGTGTGTGCTCAACGGCGTCATCAACCACCACAAGGATTGTTGTCATTTTTGGCGCGATGATGGTTGCTTTTAGATCAGTCTTTTGTTCTTTTTATTTTGTTTTTTATTTTATTTTATTTTATTTTTTATTTTATTTTTTTGAATGATAAGCTAGTCATTTATCCTAGTCTGTTTTCGACTGGATAAAATATTCGCCGTCTTTTTTTGTCGTTTTGCTCTTCCGTCTCGTCGCTCGATCGCCTGTTTAAATGCCTGAGGCGCTGTTCACACCTGTTCAACAGTGCGCGGGATTTTTTATTTTTATTTTTTTAACTTTTATTGTATTTAGCAAAATGCGAGTGTAGGGGTTATTAACTATCAAATCGATTTTCCCTCCCCCATACCCCCACCTCCCCCCCTTCCCCGCCCCCAAAAGAAAAAAATAATAAAAATAAATAAATAAATAAAATCTTAGCGGAATTTTCGCCGTCTACTATGTGCAAATTGGTGTTTTTGTTTTGAGCACCCGTACTAGTTGTTACTTTGAATAATTTATTATTTTAATATCATTATTTTGTCGAGAAAAGTGAAACAGAGGGATTATGAATAATTTATTGTAATATGTACTAATAATAAATTAATAATATCATTATTTTGTTTAAGAAAAGTGAACCAGAGGGATTACTGCAAGAATCTGGTACTTAATGACCATCGTCGTGTTCCCCGAATGCAACGCACCCCGATGATGGATGTATACAACCGTCTTTCCGATCAGATACGGTCGCGATGAGGGTGCGTTATGTTCGGGGAAAAATGGTGGGAGTATGGCGGGAAACAGGAAGATGAGTGGACTATCTTCTTCCCCCGAATACAAGGCATGAGACAGATAGACAGAGACAGACAGACAGACAGAGTATATAGTCTCTTTCCTTGAATATAGCGCAATTTTCAGGTAAGATACACGCTTCCGAATACAAGGCATGAGACAGACAGACAGACAGACTATATAGTCTCTTTCCTCGAATATAGCGCAATTTTCAGGTCAGATACACGCGATGAGAGGCTGCGTTATGTTCGGGGGAAGACGGTGAGAGTGCACTATCTTCGTCCCCCGAATACAAGGCATGAGACAGACAGACAGACAGACTATATAGTCTCTTTCCTTGAATATAGCGCAATTTTCAGGTCAGATACACGCGATGAGGGTGCGTTATGTTCGGGGGAAGACGGTGAGGGTATGTCGGCGAACAGGAAGACGAGTGCACTATCTTCTTACCCCTAATACAAGGTATGAGAGAGAGAGACAGAGAGACAGACAGACAGGCAGATAGACTATATAGTCTCTTTTCTTGAATTGAATATAACGCAATTTTCGGGTCAGATACCCTGGTGTAATTGATGGCCACCCCGTCAATTGGAGGAGAGAGGTGGTAGTTCGTTTCGGTGGTGTATGTGTAGCCGATTGTACGCATAGGTGCATACCATGAACGAGGACTTTCTGATACGTATCTGGTCGCATTTGCAGCCGGATTCCGGTCGAAAAAATATGAAATGAAGTGTGTGTGGCCTCAGCGATGGATGTATCCGATCGCAATTGCAGCCGGATTCCATCGAGAATATAGGAATTGTGTGTGTGGCCTAACTTGATGATGTGCGCACGCTCACACACATGAAGGGATGGTGAATAATCGGTTCCTCCGTT